CAGTGGTTAAGAATCCTCCTGCCAATGCAGGGGACACGGGTTCAAGTCCTGGTCCGGGAAGATTCCACAGGCTGCGGAGCAACTAAGCCCGTGTACCACAACTACTGAAGCCCAAGCACCTAGATCCTGTGCTCCGCAACAAGAGAAGCCACCACAATGAGAAGCCCATGCGCCGCAACTAGAGAAAGCCCGCTCACAGCAGCAAAGACCCAACACAGACAAAAATAAATAAAAAATAAATTAATTTTTTAAAAAAAGCCAAATTTCCAGCTTGAAAAATCTGTAAAAATCCAAATGTTTGGCAACTGATAACAACAACAATAATAATAATTTCCATTATTGAGAATATATTAAATGCTGAGCTCAGTGCTCAGTACTTTAGATATTTTTTCTCTTTTAACTGTCACAGCAATTCTGTACTTACCACACGCATTTTACAGATAATGCATCTGAGGCTCAGAACTCTTAAATAACTTGTCCCAAATCACACACCTAATAAGCAGCCCGACCAGATTCAAACCAGGGGAGTTTGACTCTAAAGCTCGATCTTTCATTCTTCTGTATCTTGCACCATCCTGGGGGCATGGACTAAACTACCGTTTTTCAAAAGTGTTCCAAGAAGCCTAAAAGGCCCTGTGTGAGTATTAAGGGGGTGGGATGCCCCCACCCCCACCAGGAGGCTGGCTCAGGTCCCAGGGCTCCCGCTTTTATCGTAACAGTTCCTTTTTTTTTTAAACCATTTGATATATTGGAGTCCGGTTCAAGAATTCTTTGAGGAAAGAGAATTCCGCTGCTCAGAAACAAAACCAAAACAAAGCCGCAAACCCAAATTGTCTTTTTATCTCTTCTCCACATACTATGATTTCCTGGATCATCAGGAAAACTTCCTCCTTCTCCCATTCCCAACCTATCAGATCTCTCTCCGTCTTATTGCATCACTCTGGTTCTGCCTTTGAGCATTTGGGTGCTCGTTGGGCCACTTCTTACAAATGGTGAATGGCCAAGTATCCAGCGACTTAGGAGCCATAGAGCCATGGACCTTCCTCACAGACCTGCTGTGGGCAGACAGGGGCAGTCTAAAACTGTGCTGAGGTCAACACAGGATGGACAAGGGTGATGGGCTGAGGGCAGCAGAAGCTAAAATCCACTGAGCCTGGTAGAGAGGCTGTCCCCTTGCTTCTCTTAGGTCTTTTATGGGTCATCATGAATTTCAGTCCTGTCATGGCTGTCTGTGAATTGAGGGTATTCTTTTTTTTTTTTTTTTGCGGCATGCGGGCCTCTCACTGTTGTGGCCTCTCCCGTTGTGGAGCACAGGCTCAGAGGCCATGGCTCAAGGGCCCAGCCGCTCCGCGGCATGTGGAATCTTTCCAGACTGGGGCACGAAGCCGTGTCCCCTGCATCGGCAGGCGGACTCTCAACCACTGCGCCACCAGGGAAGCCCGCGGGTATTCTTTATGCAGTGTCAGGACAGGTGGCTTCAACGACTATCCAGGGTAGTGAAAAGAGCCCTGGCAGAACCAGAGCTGAGCTCTCTCAGTGCGTGGCGCTTTATGACCTCGGACATATATAAAATGTGCATTGTTTCTCTCTGTGTACTTCACCCAACAGTCCTAGGGACACACGGCGACTACTTTCAAAAGCATAAAGTGACATAAGAATGGATATTGTGTTTTAATTACATGTACATGGTCTGATCAAGAAAATCAAGAAAAAGTGGGAGCTTCCAGATCCTCTTTGAAGACAGGATGCTGGAGCTAGCCTTGCCAATGTGATTTCAGCCTTGGATTCAAGGGCCATCCACTTACCAATGACTTCCAAATCCAAAACTCATTCAGATTTCTGTCCTGAGATTCCAACACATGGTTCCTACTCTGTATTGAATAGCTCCACTTGGATGTCCTGCACACTCCCCCAGCAATTTCCAAAATGGAACTCACCCACACCTCTCTGAAACCTGCTCCTTCAGCAGTGTTCTAGTTCAGGAGCTGGCAATCCCATTCATACCTCCCGGAAACCTGGGAGCCATCCTCGACTGCTTCCCTGTTTCACTTCTCATGTTTAATCAGTGTCAAGTTTCTGTGGATTCAGTTCACTCCTCAAGAAGCTCTTGGATCTCTCCAGTCTCTCCACCTCCAATGGTGTGACGTGGACTAGACCATGCCCGTCTCTGGCCTGGATGACTACAATTATCACCTATTGGTTACCCTGCTTCTGGTCTGTCCCCCATCCTGAGTCTCATGCTCCAAATCACCATTTAGGTCTTTCTGAAACACACACATACAGATCTTTCTAGAACACAAGCATGATCATGTTAGCCTCATGCTTAAATCCCTTTGACGGTTTGCAGTTTTTCTTAGGAAAATCCTAACTCTTTAACCTGCATGGCAAGGTTAGCCCCCTGCCCATCTCTCCAGCCATCTCTACTCTCAATACTCCAGCCAAACTGCATTTCTTTCAGTTCCCCAAACACATTCTATTTTCTCACTTCTACCCCTTTGCACATGTTCCTCCATCTGCTGAGGATATATACCCCCTGTGATGGTTAATTTTATGCGCCAGCTTAACTGGGCTAAGGAGTAAGTGGTAAAACATTATTTCTGGCTGTGTCTGTGACAGCGTTTCTGGAAGAGATTATCATTTGCCTCAGTAGACTGAGTAAAGATCTCCCTCACCAATGCAGGTGGGTACCTTCCAATCGGTTGAAGGTCTGAATAGAAGAAAAAGATAGAGGAAAGGTGAATTTGCTGTCTGCTTGAGCGGGGACATCTATCTTCAGACTGGGACTTCCACCACTGGCTCCCCTGGGTCTCAGGCTTTTGGACTCAGACTGAAGTACACCACTGGCTTTCCTGGTTCTCCACCTTGCAGAGCACAGACTGTGGGACTTCTAGGCCTCCATAACTGTGTTAGCCAATTCCTATAATAACTCCCCTCTTATATACATCTCTGTATACCTCCTGTGGGTTCTCCTTCTCAGGAGAACCCTGACTAATCCACTCCCATCAACTCCTACTCATCCTTGGGGTCTCAGCTTAGATGGCACTTTTTCTAGGAAGCTTTCAATGACCTTCTAAGACTGAGGTAGCTCCCCTTCTGTTGCATTTCCACAAGCACCCTGTCCTACCTTCATCGAGCTCTTACCATAATGCACAGGTTATAATTCCTTGTTGACCTAACTGCTTTCCCCATCAGGCTAAAAACTCCATGAAAGCATATATTCTGTTTTCATTTGTATCCTCTGTACCTAGGTCATAGCCAGGCACCTAGGATGTGCTCAGTAAGTTTTATTTTTCTGACCAGAGTGATCAGACTACCAAATGTATGAGTTGCCTTGTAGCAGAAATATTAAGAATCACTAGCGAGAAAGCGTATGCTTGTTAAGGACAACATTTCAGTCAGGTGTGCAAGTCAGACTGTGCTCTAACAACACCAAGAACTGACCATTAACACCTTGGCAATTTGATAACTTCTCTGTTTCCTAGAAGTCCACGTGTTTTGGGTGTTTATAGAAGTTGTGAAACAAAGTCTCTATGTATTTGAGAACTTTCTGAGTTTCACTTAATTTCTTCTTGCCAGACTGACACACCTTTAAATCCTTGTTTGAGGCCCTCTGTGTTTTGTTGTGACCTTCTGTAGCCTCCACTCATCAGTGACCCTGGTTTTCAAATCTCCTCCTGATGGCAGTGTCTGAAAAACAGCTGTTATTAAAAGTGTATCCATGTCTGGTGTCCAGAGGTAGGAGAAGCATGGGGTTTTTATTTTCCATGTTTAATCTACATTTTAACCTCTTTCTCCAAAGTTTCCAAACTATGGGCAACTGGTTAAACTATTTTAATTATTGTATCTCCCCACACCGTTTCTCTCATTTTCAAACACAGGTAAATGATTCAGAATGCATCAGACTCTCCCTGGTGTCTGCGCTACAGAAAGTGCAAAGACCTGGATTCAAGTCTTAACTCTACCATTTACAAGCTTGGGACCCTGGACCAACTACCTAACCTCTCTGAACTTCATCTTTCTCCTCTGCAAAGCAAGAACGACACCAACCTCACACCTCACTCTCTGCCTTGGGTGTGGGAGGCACTGCATAAATGTTGATGCCCTTCCCAAACAGTTCTGCTATTAATTATACCCATGATCATACAATGGTCTCTGTGGAATCTCCACAGATTGAAATGATTTTCTGGGACAATAAATCTCCACTGTTAGTAGAGCAGTTGCCATCCAGTCTCAATGTCCTTACTCACTAAAGCAGCTAAAACTTTTAAGACTCCCATTAAATGATAGGGTTGTTTGCTTTCTTCCCTGCAAAGCAGTACTCACACTCTCTGCTCATTCTCGTGGCCTTGGGGAGGGGGAAAACCATCCCACATGAGGGAGGACCTCATCTGGACGCTGGGTCCAGAATTGAGTCACTGACCTCTCTGGACGCTGGGCCCAGAATTCAGGTGGACCACCATCAGGGGAAATAAAATCAGACAAAGAGGAAGGGGTGCAATGTGCAGAAGTTGAGAGTCAAAAAATTCTAGAGGAAGCAAAATATAAGAAGCTGGGGGCGTGGCCATCTTAGCTTGGCAGTTGGAAACTGCATAGATTTAGATTTCCCGAAAGTGATTCTTTACCTTCGCCCAGTACCTGGAGTCTACAGAGATTTTTCACAGCTAGTATCTCCTTTCATCCTTACAACTATCCTGAGAGGTTGGCAAATATTTTTATACCAATGTTTTAGAAGAAGAAACTGAGGAGAGTGTACCCAGATCACACAAGTTTACACAAGATGGAGCTGGGACTTAACCTGGGGCTTCTAAGACCAGTGCTCTTTCTACCACATTCTCCTGCCTCTCATGCAGTTGGGGAAGAGGAAGATTCCAACAAACGTCAGGGGGAGCATATATTCAGGAACCCCATCACAGTGCCACAGAGGGAAAACACGAGACTGGGGTATAAAAGACCTGGCCTCCATTCCCAACCATTAACTCTTGAGATGTCAGTCTCCTTACCTCTGCAAAGAATAGGCAGGAATAAATGATTCAAAGTTCCCTCTTGTGTTTCTATTTCTTGAATGTGTGTCTTCAGTTATTTTAATGTATAACCTAGAAGAAACGCCAAAAAAAATTTTTGGAGTACATCACAAGTTCAGCAGCAATGATGGTACCTTTGACCTGATGTGACCACTATGGCTGATTTTAAAAGTTGAGATTTTCATTCATGGTTTCTTAGAATTAGGCCTCACTAAACTTCAATTAACCTTTCCACATCTCAGTTTTCTCATATGAAAAACAGGGATGACAATACCTTCAGTACAGACAAAAGGAATTTTCTACTCCTTCCTCCCTGCCGTCTTGCTTTTTCCTAGCCTCCCTGCCACCAACCCAAGGGAAAAGGAGTTGCTAATCTGACTGGTCAGTGTCTGGGACCAGAAATAGAACCTTGTACAGCCAGCCCTCTGTATCCATGGGTTCCATGTCTGCAGATTCAACCAACCGTGGACCAAAAACATTTGGAGATAAATTTTATAAAGTTGCAAAAAGCAAAACTTGACTTTGCCACTCGCCAGCAATTATTTACACAGCATTTACATTGTATTTGGTATTATAAGTAGAGATGATTTAAAGTATATAGGAGGTTATACGCAAATACACACCATTTTACATAAGGGACCGGAGCATCCATGCATTTTGGTATCTGCGGAGTCCTGGAACCAATCCCTTGTGGATACAAAGGGACAACTGTAATTGGGGGCAGGGTTGCCACCCCTAGGAGTGGTTCTCTTTCTTTTCTATTATATACAGTTGGGTGGGCAATAGGACTCAGCCTTCTCTCTGACTCTCCACCTCCTCTATGTAAGTGCCTAAGAAGGTAAGTTATTAGTCACCTTATTTTCTCTGTCATTTTGTCATCTTTCCTCCATGCATCCCTCTAGAGGGTACTAAGATCCCAAGATTTAGATTCAGGAAGAAGTAAGAGGTTCTCTTTAGACCTCAAGGCCTAAGGCATGTGCTTTTATTCACTTTTAATCAAAACCTTAATGGGGATTACTGGATGGTGGCTCAGTTAATAAAAAGCAGTACTGTCTTCTTTGACTCTTTCTAGGAACTGAGGTAGCTAGTCTCCCAGACAGTCCCCCGTGAGCCCCCAAATTCCTGGTGTTCATACCCTTTTGCAGTCCCCTCCCACACTGTACAGGGTTGATGGGTGTGACCAAGAGAATAAGGCATGAGTGATGGTATGTAACTTCTGAACTAGTTGTAAGAGACTCTGTGGCTTCTGTCCTGGTCTCTTGGATCGTTTACTCCGGGGAAAGCCAGCTGCCATGTTTTGAGAAGCCCTGTGGAGAGGCCTCTGTGATTCCTTCTAGAGCAAACCCATACTCTTCTCTTTCTGCCCCACCCCCACCCCGCCCCTGCACTGCCCCAGTGCCCAGCAGCACTCATTATACTTCATCATCCTGATATGAGGCCTTGTCTGACTTCCCCTTGCTCCATGAAGCCAGGAATGGACTATTTCTTACTAGTCTTTGAATCCTCAGTGCCTAGTGCAGTGCCTGGCACAGAGCAGTCTCTCAATAAATGCTTGTTGAATAAACAAATGGAAGGAAATTTAGTTTTATATTGATAATCATACCTCATAGGTAACTAATTTTTTCCCTTTTGTTCAAGTATCGATTTTTAACAGCTTTATTAGAGACAGAATTGATACACAAAGAACTGCATATATTTAATGTGTACACTTTGATAAGTTTGGACATATGCACACACCCGTGATACCTTCATGACAATCAAGGTAATAGACACTTCCAGCACAACACCTCCCAAGGTTTCCTTGTGTCCCTTTGGGGCTTTTGTTGTTGTTTTTGCTTGTTTGTTTTTTCTAGGTAAGAACACTTAACACAAGATCTACCCATCTAAGTGTGCACTTAACAAATTTTGAAGTGCATGATAGAGTCTTCCTAAGTATACGCACTAGGTTGTGTAACAGATCTCCAGAATGCATTCATCTAGCATAACTGAACCGTTATACCCAGTGAACAACATCTTCCCATATCCCCCTCCTCCCAGCCTCTGACACCACTATTGTATTCTCTGTTTCTCTAAGTTTGACTTTAGATTCCTTATGTAAGTGGAATAATTCAGCATTTGTCCTTCTGTGGCTGGCTTATCTCACTTAGTGTAATGTCTTCAAGGTACATCCATATTGTTGCAAATGGCAGAACTTCCTTCTTCATTAAGGCTAAATAATGTTCACATTTTAAATGTCAAAAGTATAAGGTTTGAAATTTTTCTTTCAGTAGAAGCCAAATATAGAAATCTATACTAGATTTCATAGACATTTAAGATCACTGAATAAGTCTGTGTGTAGAAATAAGGGACAAGTCTAAAGAAATCTCTGGAACTTAAGTAGGGGTTTCTATTTTGTCTCCAAATTCACCCTCATAATTTTAGTTCTAGTGTGTACCATAGGGTGAATCCCTTCTTCATAATTGGAGAACTTTACTTTTTCCCTTCTGTGTCCATATGCCTACTTAAATTATACCCAGGGTTTATCAAATTATACTCAAGCTGAATATTTTGGCCCCAAAGATGTATTAATTCTAAGTCTCTTACTGTTGCCACTTTGGGGGTAACTGTTTTTACTCAATTATACAGTACCCTGAGATTGGTGGATATTAATTCCAAAGACTGAGAGGACCTCTATGAAGCAAAAAAAATGGAGGGCAAACCACGAAGGCCAGACTGACATTTTCTTTGTCCCCTAAATTTGCATTCTCAGAATTGAGCCAAAGGCCCCATGAAATTTGTTCCCAGCTTTCTGTACCTGCCTTCTCCTTCCCTCAAAAGCAGTCTTCAGAAGTTGATCAGTTGATTTATATGTAGGTACTGAAAGGTTCAGAAACTCAGAAAGAGGCCAAATTTATTTTAAAGATGATTAAGAAGAAAAATGAAGAGTTACCAGAAGGAAGAAGTATAACTAGACATTATACTCATGCTATATCTACCTCTCTATACAAATTTAGGTATGGGTGTGTGGGTGTGTGTGTGTGTGTGTGTGTGTGTATACAAAAACAAAGCAGTCAAACTTCTGTACACAGACTTAAGTGACTGTGTGTGTACATACATACATATATGTGTATATATACACATAGGTATATACATATATACAAATACTATATATGCATATATTTTTAAATCACCCCCTTCTTTGGTATAGGGTACAGAGTTCTCATATTACTCTGGGATAATCTCCCAAGGAGCCATTTTATCTGAACACACAGTTCTATTTATCCAGTTTCTGATGATTAGTCTCAGGGGCAACTTTACGCAATACATACTGGCTATGACACAAGGCTTCTCTACTTAAATCAAATGTCCAAACTGAGATCCAGTAAGACAAATAGTACCTTCTCTTCTGCACGTGCCAGTGTCTGGGTATGTGGGATGGAATAAGACGCTGGTAGTGAGGAAGCCAAATCTTTTGAAAATCTTCATCCCCTCCCTTTTCCTAGATGATTCTGGGATTTAGATGTGCAACAAACAAAAAGAAGAGGGACATTTTCTTGGAAGCTACAAAAGACCAATTTACTTTTTTTTTTTTTTGAGCACTGCGAAACACACATAAAATAGGACATGTCTCTAAGAAGCTCTGACATATCTATCAGCCATGATCTCCTTTGTGTTAAAAGAAACCAGCCACAGAAATATTGTTGCTGCCAAAAAAGCGTTGTCTCATCCCTTTTCACTTCCTCCCTGCAAGGATGCTTCATCAAATCATCACCAGAAGACAAAATCTGTTGCTTTGGGGCAGACAGTCAACGGAGGTTTGGTTGACTTTGTCACCTTGATGTGGTCACAGAGGTATTAGAGGTTGACCATGCAGCTGTTGGTTAAAAATGATAATCATCTGAAGAAAAGTACACATATACTGTCTCTACTTTCTTGGAACTGGGAGTTGGCTTCCTTGGACCATCTCCCCCTCCTTCCAGCTTCAAAAAAAGAAATTGCTAAGTATTCAATTTGGTGTTTGCCTAAGGGTAGCTAAACAAGTCTCCTGGTGAGGTGTTTGTCTTTATTTCTGAGAAGGCAGCCTATCACTCAGTTTGATTCTAACAAAAATAAATCTCCCAAAACCAGCAGGGGAAAGGGGACTTATCAACAAAGGTCAACTAGAATAAATATCGTCTCTAGTTGAAAATAAGGTTTTCTGTCAAAGCTACAGGAGCAATTGAAAGGCATAAAGAGATTTTTGGGTTCCAAAGAAGACCCGAAGACTCCAGCTGTCTGGTTGGTCTCCAAACATCAGGGAGTAAAGCAATATTTGAATAGTGTCAGCAAAAGTTTCTTCTTCAGAAGTGGGTGGTGATGGGGTGTGTGTGTCAGGAATATATGGTGGACCATGAGGGGGTCAAATATTCTGTTCTTCTGCTCCCAAATTGGCACTTTCTCAATCATATTCTTAAACTCACAGTTGTTAAGATGATCATGAAGAACGTTAGAAGAAGCAGAATCGGAAAGCAAAACAGGGAGCTGCATAGCCTCATCCTAGGCTTGTTCCCTAACATTAGAATTGGTCTAGAATTCTGTAATTTTTCCCCCTGATCTCCAAAGAGACACCAGTTCCACAGCCAGAGCCAGTGTAAGAAAAAGTGTATTCAAAGCCTTCCTTCGGGGTGTGGCAACTACCTATTTTGCTCCTGGGTCAGAGAGTACATCTGAACTCCAACTGCCATCCCTCTTCTACTTGAAGAAAAAAAAAAAGCTGGTTAGTTCAAGATCATGGACTGAGCCAAGATGGCTACTTCTCCTTCCTCCCAAACACTAGGGAAATGAGATACATAACATAAGACAAAGTCTTAGTCCTAGGTAAGACTGAGTCCTAGAAAATGCCAGTTGAATAGAAACTAAAGAAGTTCTGAGTAGTAGCAGACTGGCAGAAATACCAGAGAGATGAGAAACACAGCTGAAGGAGGGGGCTGCTGGATGAATAATTCTCTAGCCTGTAAACTTCATCAGAACAAGTCATCATTTGTCTTATTCATTATTGTATCCTCTCTTTCTTGTATAGCTCCTGGCACAAAGTGGATGTTCAATAGTGACTA